TTTCCTGTATACGCAAAATGCCAAGAAATTTCTATTGTATTCACATTTTTTATTCAGAAACAACTTTCAAATCAGCAATTCAAATGGCAATCTGATATTCAAAAATCTGCAAAATTACGGACATGCTCCACTATTGAGGAAGAATACGGCCTAAAACAATACGTTGCCATGGACTTGCCAAAATCAGTAAGGTCAACAATGGCACAATTCCATTGTGGTGTCCTTCCCATTGCGCATCGAGACTGGTCACTATCGTGGGGAATCGATTCAAGAGAGAATTTGTAGTCTTTGTGATCTGAACGGAGTAGAGGATGAACTACAATTTGTATTAAAATTTTGTATAAGAGCTGTCGATATTATTTTCTAAAATTGCTGGAATTTCAAATTTACTTGATATTGATCTAAATGATTTTTATCTATTTACTCATTAACCACGCCAAACTGCGAGTTATATTATGCATATAATATATACCAATACTGCGAGTTATATTATGCATATAACATAAGACAAAGAAAATTTTCGCTTATTTGTATAATTAATGCAAAATTAATGAATACACATGTCATCGGGCCCGTAGAACGGGGGGGGGGGGGGGGCAGTTTTTCTGAGTATATGAGGATAGTATTTTGCTGTAGTAAATTTTCATTTAGATGCTGATTCACCCCTCTCCAACCCCCCTCCCCCCCTACACACACGCATACACGCACACACTTTTGTTGGTGTAAGGTGGAGCACTGGCAAATTCCAGGATTTGGATTTTGGGGTTAGTTTAGGTTTTCTTTTTTTTTCTTCTTTTTTTTGGGGGGGGGGGAAGGGGGGGGGGGAATATTTACTTGCTTACTGTATTATATTGCAGTTTATTCACTTCAGGATTTTATTTTAATTATAAAAATTCAAACATAACGCATTTTTTTTGTAAATATAACAAACAGAAACATTCCCCACCATCCCTTCAAAACAAACAAATACCAGGGGCGTAGCTGCCTATACGCAAATACGCAAGTGCGTACACATCATTAAAAAAAAAAAAAAAAAGGAAAGAGAGAGAGAGGGGGGGTATTTGAAGAAAAAAAAATCTCAGTTCTGTACCATCCAACAAATATCGGTGTTTCAAATTAATCCGTGTCATACTGCTTCGATTTGATTTATATCACAATTACAGTGTATATAATAAATTTTGAAATCCTTTATTGAATCATTGTACCAAATCCAAACAAACCAAACAAATACATAATGATCTTATATTTTGCAAGAAAATGAATGAAATATTTGGTAAAACTCGGAGCTTCTGGGTCCTCACCAGCAGGCACGTATAGTTTCAGGGGGGCCAGGGGGTGGCCTGTCCCCACATATTACCATACCTAACCTTTTACTATTGAAAATGTTTATTGAAAGGGTGGTTGTCCCCCTTTTTTTGTTGTACTACAGTTAATTTTGAAAGTTTGAACCCCCCCCCCCCGATCCCCTGCCGTTTTCTGCGTACACTTCACTTGCATGCTGGCTACGCGCCTGAATACAGTAAGTATTGTACGTAGACTGTAGTAAGTTTAAAGGTCACTCAAAATATTCTAAATATCTTGATTTGGCTATTGCAATTAAGTTGAATAAAACGCGTTATAGCTGTTGCATTTATAATGAATGATGCAATTCAAAGAATTTGAATAAGATATTGAGATATGTTGAATTATCGTGTGTCGTGTCAAGTATTCAAAATTTCGTATTGACAATTAATGACCATCTGCAATAAACATTATTCCATACTAATTCCCGTCTAATTCCCAAATCCAGTTTGGATAATTTTTTTTATTACCCAGATAATGTTCTCAAGGTATGCACCACAAGCAATTTTACAACTACGATGGCCGACAGCGCGGCCGCCACTTTTGATTCTAAATATTGTCATTTTGTACAGTTTTTTTGTCAATTTTCGTTGACAAATTACGACTAAACTGGTAATGCTATATGTCCATATACAGTTTTTACACTGACAATTTACACTGGAGAAAATCATTAAAATTCTTTCTTGTGATATGAAATGAAGATACATAAAACAGGTTACTTGAAGGTGATAAGCTTAAGGCTCTAGCAGAACAGCAAGGTCGGGGTGATTACAGATTAGTATTGTCTTCTAGATATGCTTTCTCGACAGATTGTAGTAATTAATTCATAAAATTCCATGTTGGTGTACCTGCTGGTCACATCATAAGTAACCAGGATGAAATTTTCCAGGTTTATCAGAAATTTGATTTTGTTCATAATCGGACGTGTCTTTGATGTATGAATTTTGTTTTTTAAACAATGCGCACGAGGAAATGATCACATTAGTTACATGTACCTATATTTTCATTCCCGTGCCACATTGAAAAATAATTGGCCGACCAGGTGGAAGTCTTGAGAGGTTGCGTTGGCCTTTAAAAGTGTTTCAAGCATTTAGTTATTAATTTTATGTATTTAGGGAGCAAATACAGACTCCCACATTTAAGGTTGCTTAAAAACGGGTATATTTCCGTATCTAAAGTTTTGTTTTTGATACATTCCATAAACTTTTGATTGGATGCTCACATGTAGAGCTACTTAATCCTGTTTTTCTACCTCTACATAATAGGTAGAATCGAGTTGTCTCATACAATCTGAGGATCGAGATATATCCATTATATTCATGTATATCCATTACAACAAACGTATTACTTTTATTCGTCTTTTTAATTACAATCCCAAGAATATCTTTTTAATAATACAACAAGGTGACAGAATGACGATTTACGTCTAATCAAGGATTAACTGGGTTACGATATCTCAGACTACTAGTAATTGAGGGTGAAAATCATTAAAATGCTCCTTACCTCTTTCAAGCCACCTGTTTTATGTATCTTAATTTCACATCACACGAAAGAATTTTAATGTTTTTCGCCGGTGTAAATTGTCAGTGTAAGAAATGTACATGTACATATAGCATTACCAGTTTAGTTGTAATATGTCAACGAAAATTGACAAAAACGCTGTACAAAATAACAATATTCTTAATCAGAAAGTGGCGGCCTCTGTCGGCCATCGTATACAACTCACGTATAGAAATAATTATTAAGGGAAAATGACTTTTGAAAAATATTTACTCCAAAATACCACCATTTTAAGCCTCACGCCATCTTTTTTACAAGCAAACATAAACACATCTATAGTATGACATAATTGCTGGAGTAATCATTTAAAAAATATGTATTGAAAAGTTTCACTCAGTGGGGCCTTTAACATTCCCAACAAAAAAGGGGACCATGGATTGCAACCTTATTTACACTCTGATAACCCGGATAACATTTAAAAAGGAGAAAATGATGATTATACACAAAAGCAGCAAAACTATAATCAAAACTATAAAATCATTAATATATAAGTTAATTAGCCGAGAGGTTAACAAGACATCCTAAACAAGTGCGTTAGCATTGATTTTTCCATTAGGACATTTCATCTACAGCTGTATAAACCTCAATGGAAGTAAAGAGTACAACGGAATTAGAAAACAATTCATTTAATAACTTGTTTCTGCCTTATCATGTTTCGACGTCTCAAGTCACTCCTAAAACTGGCTGTTCTTTTCTTCCAATGCGTCACATCCTTTACCATAGTTCTCACAGTATAGGGTCGGAGGGTTCTTCACAATTCATGAACAATTATTAAGCTTTTAGCAATATTTCTTTGCCCAATTCCATGACCTGTGAGGCACAATAAGAAGAATGATGGCGAGGTTTCGGTGGCGAGAACAAGGGGACCAGTTTAATTATTGGATTCGAGGGGTCCTTGATAAGGTAGAAATTGTAATTGTCTCCCTTAAAAATATATCCATACCTTCATAGAATAGTCTAGTCCTTAAACCTTCTCGATAGCCTGTTAATACTGTTTTCTTCCCTTCTTAAAAAAGATAGTTGATACTGAAGAGCTAAATTCATTTTGTATGTGGAACATCAGATACTGATGTGGACTTTTAGATACATAATGTTTAAACATTCAAATGTTACGCATGTATCTCCTTAAACGATATTTAACAAAGCAATTGACAAAAGTCAATGCCTTACTTGGTTAACTATCAAAATTCATTTTGCAATCAATTATCGGGATCAATATTTTGATTTTAACCTTGATTTCTTTTTTCTCTTATCTTTCTTTCCTCTGTTGCGTCTCTAGAATCAAAATTAAATTTCATATTCACCAAGATCTCCTTAAGTTATTGTCAAAACTTAAAAGTACATTAGCTGAATCTTAGTAATGGTATATGGGCTATTCACTTTGCAATGCTCTCAAGTAAGCTGGGTACATGTATACTGTATCATGATCAATTAGCGATAATTCAGCGAATCATAAATCAACATTTACAAACTAACCAAATCGTTTTGTAGAATAGTGACACGTAGGACATGTCTAAACTCAAAAGTAACATTGTAATTATTGTGCTGTCAAATCTTTCAGATCCCGATATTTTCAAAATAAACACAATCCCGTTCTTTTGTGTCCACGTCATTTTGCCAATATCCCTCTAACAGCTTTCTCTCCTGCTTCCTAGCAATGTCGTGATCAAGTTCGGAATTATAAGTTCTATCCAAATCGTTAAGACAGAAAGTAAGCATTATTCTGTTAGATTATACGTAACTTCTATGCCTGACTCTGCTTTATTATGGAGATTCTTAAGTTTTATGGCTCACTTTTGTCACAAATGTCGATGATTTGCTCACACCCGTAATTCTTTCTCCGTTTATTGCTTAAAAACAACACAGAAGGCATCAGTCGTCTTGGATTCGTTCAACCCTTGTACCAGATTGTTAAAATCAGTTAAACCTTTGAATTATTCAAATTTTATACATAGTGTTTATGGAGATAAAGGCCGTGATTTGGAGATATTTTTTTCTCAATTTTTTTAAATTTAAATTTTGACCATGCCAAGTCCTTTTCTCTTAATATTCGCCGTGGTGAAACGTTGAAGTAAAAAATGTGCTCATCAAAAATTGATTCTAGAAGATGAGCGTTTAAAAATCAATGATGAGTCTGAGGAAACGAGAAAATACTTGCGAGTTCACAAAACTCATCGGGAAACTAAGCGAATCAATTATGAAGGTAAATGCTCCTTAAAATATACAATTTATAATCTAAAATGTCAGTTTCTTTGTATGAAGAGGCAATATAAAATACAAAGTTGATTGATGAACGATTTTTACATGACAGGTACATTGTGTCTATGTAGTGTGTAAGTATGTTTCGAGTTTCCAAGTGGGATATTTATGAGAGAACGGATTCTAAATTGAGCTTTCTTGTCCAAATATAGCACAGTTTCAGACACAATTTATATGTATAATAAGTCTTCATCAAGCAGTCACAGCTGCACGTTTGTAGAAATGAAAGAAATATCCAGATTTATTTCTGCCGGATTTTGAATTCGATAGGAGTTAAATTAAGTCTGATTAAAAAACAAATCCAGCATATGTAAGTATTTGAAAATTCAAAATGTTTCCAATATGTAAAAGAAATCAAGAACTTTAAAGTTTGTTAAAAAGTAAATACCTGTATAAAGTGACTAGTGTATATTCAAAATCGTGAAACTTTCTCATAAGAACTGCATTATTTTTGCATTAAATTTCCTTCTTTCAGCTTTTCTTCTTTAACAGTTATCATAATTGCCTCTTCACTCTCGTTTGAACAGAGTCAATTATCTGGTTTTACTTAATGGTCCTTACCTAATATTACAAATGTTTTTTCAACTGGCAAGATGAGCTAGAACTCAAATACTACTAATTAAAAGTTAATATTTTCGCACTATTCAGCATTTTTTGAACTAAACTCTTGGGCTCAGTACCGTTGGAGGAATGTTTCCTCATAATTCACAATTTGCGAAAAATTTGCGACATTTCTAAGTACATTTGTGATTAAAAGATATTTTAATCGTTTAAAAATGTTTTTAAAGTATTTGTTCGTACATCAAATATTCTCTTATCTGGTCTCAGTTCAGAGATGTATTTAGTTTAGGGAGCTTTTGTTAACAAGCCAATCAAGCATATATACGAGAAGATGTCTCTCATTGTTCATTCATTGTACTACTGGGGAAATCTAAGACTTTGATCTCCTCTCAACATACGGGCGTGAAGATGTAATCATACATTTACGATTTGCTTCAGAGTTAAACGAAAAGATTCCTTACTCTCCTTTTACTTTGATTTCCTGTTAAATGAGACTTATTTTAAACTTTGTAATTAAGTATTAATACCCCCCTCTCGCCGAAACTCATGCAAAATTTAAGAAATAAAGTCCGCGTTATCGTGAATGTTGCAGGATAACCTCCGAGGTCGAGAAATGTTGTCTGAAATATAAAAGCCGAGGCGTTAGCCGAGGCTTTTATATTTCAGACAACATTTCGAGACCGAGGAGGTTATCCTGCATCATTCACGACAACAAGGACTTTATTTCTATTCTACTAACGGCTCTAAAATACAGTTGATCGTTTTCTCTATAGAGAAACGAATTAGGTCACCATGTCGCAATTTCGCTGTTCCATTTAACACCAGAGGGTCAATCGATTGCATAAAATGCAGACGATTTCAGCTTTTGCTGGATTAAAAATATCCTTTAATTATTATAAATTTGCTTGTAACATATATTGATTAATTTTTATGAATGAAAAATAACAAAACCAGTTGTCTATTTCATTGATTTATCAGTAAAATCACGGGAGTGTAAATGTTATTGGGGAGGTCCGTAGAACAGTCCCACTTGGCTATAAAAACGGATATTTATCAGCTGTTTCAGGCAATACACACGTTTAGACTGCGGAAGACGATACATCGATGTGGTCTAAATAAGTATTAGATTATACAGTGAAATATTTATTTCAACTGTACAGATTTGACATGTGTTTCTGATCTGATAATTTTTTGATGACGTTCGTGATTTATTGGAGAATAATGTCCGCGGCATTTCTTTGATCTCGGCAATAATCGTAGTAGAATTGGTGGTAATACGAGCATCTTAAAATCATCGTTCCGTGTATTTTCAAGTGAAGTAATAAAGACCTGCGATAACTAACAGATATTCACAAAGTCATGATTTGCATAAACACTAGTAAATATAATCGTCTAAATATTTTGCAGGAAATGGTTCTCGCCCATTCTTCTTATGCTCGCGCGGCAGGGATACAAAGTGAAATCAACAAAGTTACAGTGACACGTGTAGCCGGAAGTGAAGTAGAATACCAACGTCAGATGAACCTGCATCGAAAGAACATGGAATTCGTTATAAGAAATATCCGAAAAGAACAAACTAAACTAAAAAGGTCTATTGAAAAATATTCTACCAAACTTCGCGATGGAAAACGTGAAAGAGAAAAAAGAGAACGAGAGGAAAGAATAAGAGACCAAAAAAGCTTAGAAAACATGAGCAAGGTTTCTGCCATCTTCGTTTTACGGGAAACGCCTGTTCTTCCAAGCATCAGGAAAAGAGATTCCGAGACCGACAATATTTCCCCTGACAGTGGGATCGGTGATAGTGAGGATGGTAGGCCGCTAGAAAAGGAAGATAAAAGAGAGAATATAAGTGAAGTTTCTGTGAAAAGAAAAGAACGCACTGATTTACAACTGCCCTCTCACGGTGTTCCTCTGCCCTCCATCATGGAAGGCAATGAGTTAGGCGAGGACAATGAAGATGAGTCAGAAGGACAAAAAGATATCAAAGAGGATTACAATCTTCCGGAGATCTCTGTAAACAATGACTTTGAAACTAAATTAAATAACCACCTGAGAACTATAAAACCTAAGAAACAGGGAGTATCATTTTCAGATCTAATAAAATTACAACATTCAACAAATACAAAGAAACTTTTTAATCTTGTGAATATATTGGCACAGAAACATGGCCTTAAGGACGTTGATGACAAACAAGAGAAAGAAAACCGAAATTCAAGCATTCTTAGAGGAAGCACAGACGAATCAATATCACTGAAGGCAGCCTCTGTGTTGTATCCAATGAAATACGGTTATGATTCTGGAACCGAATCTGAAATGTCGATTCCGATGATCGAAACGGACAGACAATCCTTGTTTGAGGGAACTGTTGATCAACAGGAAAGTAATCGCGATCCTTCTAGTGCAAATATTATTCAAAGGTTAGCGAACTCCCCAGAAAAGTCTGAATTCTCTCTGTCACCAGTACGAGTCCGGGAACCAAGTGTTTTATCGCCCTCAGGTAAACAAAAAAAGCGAAACAAAAGTCTTCCAATGTTGATGGACGAAGCACAAACTTTGAAATTCACACATAGCCTTAGTGTCTCTGACGAACCAAAAAGAGGATTGTCTCTAGTCAAGTCTCCAAAGCCAAGAATTTTACCCCCAATTCAAAAACAGAAATCTGAGGAAACTTACCTAACAAGATCCCAAAGAAGCAACTCAATATCCTGGACTGAGGCCTTTGGGTTGCTGAAGGGTGTCCATAGCATAATCGATTAATGACAGTAGACATGTTTTGTACTAAATGATTGGTGCTACATAGAATCTAGATACTTCATATATAAGCCTATAATAAAATAAATGGTTAATCCGAGTTGTATTTTAGTTACTAGTAATTTACGTACATTTTTTTAAATATGAGGTACTTTTATCAAAACATCAGAACTTGACTAAGAATTCCACTACTGGATGTCAAATAACTTGATGGAAGCGTAAAGAAGAACACATAGAATAAAATATTACAATAAACTATTTTCTTTTCTATGCACGGACGTAAGATTTCTCAAATTTGAGTTGTTTATCCACATTGTTTGATGATTCTGGTAAATAAGAGAACAAACTATTATCGTGACATGATCCGGGGCTTGGTGACACCAATGGTATTTCCTTTAATAAAACAAAACCACTTCATTCAGTTATCTACTGTTTACTCCTTGTTTCCTCTAATAACACGATTTACGCAAATACAGATTATCATCTAGCAGTGTTTGAGATCAGGTACCTTAGGTAGTGTAATTCTTTGTTTAGGGGCTATGTGTGATTTAGAAGAGGTTTTATCATATAAGCAGGAAATCAGGTGCTTGCTGTTGTTTTGACCTCCACCACGTCAGCAATGTAGATACATGTATAATGTAGGATGTACTCATTCAATTTATAAATATATTCTGGATTGTATATATAAGAATTTTTTTCTGAATGTTATAGTTTTCTTCCTTTTTAAAATTTCTTTCCCATAGTATTACTAGTATCACTCCTCCATGGCACCTGATCCTACCTCTAAATTTTGAGGTCCGTGTTTGCTCTGCTCCAAATTTGTATCGTTTCATTGGACTTTCGAGATTGAATACTGTTCGTTATCTTCATACAGTATTTCATTGTAAATAGCTTTGATATTACAAACAAGAGAACCGTAACGAAAAGTTTAACTCGCATTTCATTCCAAAAGCACGATTTCTTAAAACATTGACTTGATATCACCAGCAGTTTTCACGTGCACCGCCTCTAACGATGACATAAGGGACCAATATACTAAGTATATAAATCACTGTTGACATTGGCCTTTTTCTTTGTTCATCTGGCATCTCAGTATCAAATATGAGACAGAATGGGAGCATGATTTTAAAAATTGTGTTTAAACTTTTATTACATTTCTCATGTCGCCCGCGTGGTGCAGTGGTTAGAGCGTCTGCTCTAGAGTCGCGAAGTAAGGAGTTGATCCTTACGTCGCGGGTTCGAATCCCACTGTGGGACGTGGAGACCGGTCCTTCGGATGAGACCGTATAAACCGAGGTCCCGTGTCGCAGTAGGAAAAAGATCCCTCACTGCTCAATGGTCGTAAGTGCCGAGTATAGGACAAAATTTGCAGCTCTCCACCGGCAAGTGGTGGCGTCTCCATATGAGTGAAAAGTTCTCTCGAGGGGCGTTAAACAACATATAAACAAACAAACATTTCTCACTGATTTTAATTTGATTTGTGAAAGTGCGGCCTAAATTCTTGTTCTGGCAACTATAGTATTTCTGTAGCTATAATATGGATGAAATGAGTCTAAACCTACTATAAGTTGTGTCGTTAGTGTTTGAAAGATTTGAACCAGCCTTTGAACTTGATCTTTGACTTTTTGATCAGGGACCATTTCTCTTCTTTCACCTGGCATCTCCTATTGCTAATAACTAGTATGGGATTTTTGTCCACATTTAAAACATTTATATATCGCTTACTTTATGACTGCAAGTGCATTATGAATCCCCCATAGGTTTTACTTTATTTCTGAAGCAAGTATGAGACTGGAATCTGAAAGAGTTACTGCTTCTACAACATTGTTGTTTGAGGATACTAAAAACATCGAAGAATTCTAGAAAATTTGAAAAAACAAAAGTTTTCCATCATCAATAGCACCAAAACGTGTGACTTCTCAACAATAACATCATCATCATCAACAACAGAAACATTCTGCATGATGAAGTAAAGACCAGGCTTTTTGGAATTAAAGACCAGGCTTTTTGACATTATAGATAGCCAATTCTTAATAAAGATAGAGTTCGGAAATTTCATACTTTTCGTATTTTCTGATTAATTGGTCATCAACAAAAATACTTTGTTAAAAATTATTCTGGTTCTACAAACAAGTACATGTACTCTGAAGTTGGTATTAAAAGATGTTTGGAGTTTTCATTGACAATATGTATGTATGCACTCTTTGGAGACCAAGTCTTCAAACAATCTGCGGGAATTCCCGTGGGCAATAAAGACGTCTCTTGCTAAAGCCTTCAATTCGACATTTATATACATCGATCACGCTTTATCAATTAACAATATTAATTTCATTAGATTCGTTGATTCGATATCTCGAAATAGAATACTTCTCAGAGTAAAATCTAACAAATCTGTTTAATTTTTATATGTTTTTATTGAAAAAGACATTGACGATACTTCTTTTTTCTGAAGAAAAATATGCTGATTAATTATTGAAAAATATACATTGAAGCAATAAAAAGTTTCGCTTAATGTTTGTTTTAGCAATTTGTTCCCAGACAATGTGTGTGGATTCGTTATCTTTTCTTGTAAAACAAAGAAATAAAAAGATTAACAATTGCATGTACTAATATTTGGTTCCTCAAATTGCTTTATGAATTCAGGGAATTGACTTTAAAAATGTTAACTCTTTATTGAATAAAGACTTACATATAAATAAATAAAATGATATAATACGTTCAATGAACAATAAGTCATGAAATGATAACAAAATTAAGTGTTTTTCTTACTAACCATGGTAAAACTTAAATTGTATATACGTTTTACGTTCATGTACATGTATACATGTATATATAAATCACGGTGTGTAATTAGGAGGGGGTTGCTCATTTAAGCTGGCTCTGGCTTTAAACCTTGAAGGTTTTTGTGGCAGATTATACTGTGAGAGTGGAATGTTTTCCACGGACTCTTCGTCCATGGTGACTGGAAGTGTGTCGTAATATTCCCGTGGTTTCCGGTAAATAATGGACGGTGTGATTGGAGTACTTGGTGTAAATAATCTCCCAGTTTTCATGAAGTTATGAATGTAAACATTGTTTGTGTGAGACACGTGCTTGCTTTTAACATTGCTGTAATGAACATCTCCTGCAGCAGGTCCTTCTATTGGAGAAAAATCCCCTTTGTCTGGTTTTTCCACTGGAGTTTTTCTATGCACTTTCCGGAGTAAATTCGGATAATCCTGTCCATTGTGATGTGGCTGGAGTCCCCTGTATCCGCTATCGTAAGAAAACTCGGAGTACTGAACGTTTGGTTTTGGAACTTTTTTCATTGGCGGAGGTTTCGGATTAATGTTTACTACGGACACGAGATGCGCGACATCGAGGCTAACCATAGGCGGATATTCTCGGGGATGACTCACTGGTTGTCTCTGAAATATCAAACATTCGAAACCGATTTCATATTAAAGCTTTTTTCATTGCTTTAATATTTATTACTAAACAATTTCTGTGGCTGAATTATGAAAACTGTTGAGGTAACCTATTGCATATACAACAGTTCCAAGTTTTTTTTTTTTTTTTTTTTTTTTTTTTTTTTTTTTTTTTAATACAAAAAACAATATTGTTTTTTTTTAAACCTCTCTTCCATTCTTCTTTAATAGAAAAAGAACAGAATTTTTATTCATTTAAATAACGTTTGCTTTCAATTTAAAAACCTTCTGGAAAATGATAACACAAAATTTACGCTTAAAATAAAGAAAATGCATTTGGTTTTATACAGTACGTATACCTTAGGAGCTTTTTTCTCTAGTTTGTCCTCAGTGACCCCAACAGGAGCTTTACAACAATGGCGGCAGATGAAGAAGGCGACGGGGATAAGAATGGCCAGTAATAGAATACACCCCCCTACCACTGCCAGCAGAAACGGAACACTCATTTCACTAGGGGCTGTAAAGAAAAAAAAGGAATTCCAAATCATTAAAGTCATCTTGAGGCGTTCATCTAGAGCAGCGCCTTCCTCCTTTTTTCAGCAGCATAATTTTTGCAAAATTTTATATTTCGATTCTTGGATTAAAATAAAACCGAGAACTGCCCAAACTCGAAAAAAAAAACTTTTTCTTGAAAGGGGGGGGGGGGTTAGTTTCTTTTTTTTTCCTCGTCACAAAACAAAAAGTTGGATGTTAATCGGCCTTTAATTAAATTTTTTCATACTCAGTCAACAGCGAAAGACCAGCAAAGGACCTGGGATCACGACAGAGTAAAACAAATTTTCAATCATTAATATTTGTAAGTTGTTGTTTATTTATTGTCAACTTAAACTGTAAGATAACTTCTCGTTCTTTCAGTATCGAATTACTTTTTTTTAAATATTGAACTGTTTGATTTCTACACCATTCTTTGGACACAAAGGAGGTACGTTGTTAATCTTCTCAAGAAAGATAACTCTGATAACAATCTATACCAAAAGCAGGGTTTGGAAAAGGCTATAGAACAACAGATCATATAATTAATTTGAAATGTTTAACTGTCCTGTATTAACACAGAGGTAGGTAATTCTGCTTTTTAGCTCACCTGAGCCGAAGGCTCAAATGAGCTTTTCTGATCAAAGAGTGTCCGACGTCCGTCTGTCGTCTGTAAACCTCATATTTTCTATTTCTCAAAAACCACTGGACAAATTTCAACCAAGCTTGCCACAAAGCATACCTGGGTGTAAGAGATTTAAGTTTGTTCAAATGAAAGGCCATACCCTCTTTTATGTGAGATAATTAAGAATTAGTGAAAATTTAATGGCAATTTTTAAAAATCTTCTAAAGAACCACTTGGCCATGGAGAAAAGATGAATCTTATGAGAAAACTTCATTACGTAGATTCAAGTTTTTGTTCAAATCATCGCCCCAGGGCTAGGGCGGGTTAACAATGGGCAATTAAAGTTTTACATAGGAATATATAGGAAAAATCTTTAGAAATCTTCTCAAGTACAGCAAGCCATGATAAGAATATTTATATGGAAGCATCCTCAGGTAGTGTAGATTTAAGTTTGTTCAAATCATTACCCCCGGGGGTAGGGTGGGGGTCACAATGGGCGATCAAAGTTTTACATAGGCATATATAGGAAAAATCTTTTAAAATACAGCAAAGCCATTATTCAGATTTAAATGGAAGCATCCTCAGACAGCCCATGGTATGTCCCCCTACCAAATTTGGGGAACATGGCCCAAACATAATTCAGAATATATCTCATACCCATTTAGGTCTACACTTTCAAAGAGATGCTACGTGGACATTACATATACAATCAATTCATGAAAAAGCTACAAAAAGACTAAATATCCTCAGAATGCTTAAGTATAAGGTTAGGCGGAAAACACTTGTTAAGATATATTTTGCATTTATTAGACCTGTTTTGGAATATTCCGACGTTGTTTGGGACAATTGCTCTGAAAAAGACTCAAAACTTTTAGAAGATATTCAAGTTGAAGCAGGTAGAAATATCACGGGGTTAAGATGTAACTCCTCTCGTTCAAAATTGTTTGATGAATTAGGGTGGGAGATTTTACAAACAAGTAGGGAGGTTCATAAATTGATATTGTTTTATAAAATTATGAATGGCTATTCACCTCAATATTTGCATGATTTGATTTAGCCTTATCGCCCATCAAATCATTCCTTTAACCTTATAACCAGCGATGCACAACTTAAACTTCCTCACATTAGAACTACATCATACATGGAAAGTTTCCTTCCATCAACATTTAAACTGTGGAATAACTTGCCAGATTATATTAGAAATGCTTCTGGAATATCATTATTCAAAAGTCTTTTGAATTCTTATTTTTGTAAAAAAAAGTAATGAACTATTTCATATTGGAATAAGAAAATACAATATAATACACTGTCAGTTAAGGAACAATGCAAATAATTTGAAGGCAGACTTATATAGCCAATGTTTATCAGAAACACCAATGTGTGAACACTGTATCGATTCTGTTGAAGATGCTTACCATTACTTTTTCGCTTGTTCAAAATGTACATCTTATATACTTTTTCAAACAATTCAAAATATTATTGTCTGTAAAGAGGTTTCTGAACTTGAATTAGTATTATATGGTAGTCCTGCTCATGGACTCAATACTAATATACAAATTTTTAAAGCAGTACATGCATATATAGCAGTAACAAAATGTTTTACCCGAACACTGTCATGTAAATGCATGTAACTTTTGTCAGTTTTTCCAAACCGGTACTTCATTGTATTTTCCCCTCTTTTTCCTTGCATTTTTCTTTTAAATGTTTGTTTAATTAATGTTATGCAGTGTATTTACCTTGACTTTGCTGTAGGGAGAGGGCTAAAATAGACTATGCCTGCTGCCCAATCCCATTCATTTCATGTGAATAAAATTATGTATAAATAAATCCTAAGATAGTGCAGATTCAAGATTGTTCATATAACAAATCAAATCACAATATCTTTTAATGATTTGATGAATACTTCTGATGCACATAAACTAATATGCTTAGCAAAGTTTATAAAGCTGTTCTTAAAACATATCATACCTGAATTTCTTATACAGAGGTTTTTAACGTTTTCTTACAAACTTTACTACTGTACATTTGTATATCATAGATTTTTTTTGTTCATTATGTTTACTGTTCACAAGCTGTTCAATTTATAATTTACTTCATTGTTCTCACATACCCCAATAGCTTTTGATGGGGACTTTTGTGAAATTAAAAGTCTCAAAATCTCAAAGAAAACGACTGTCAAAACAACGAAATAAGAATTGAAATGATAATATCAATCTGTGACACTCTAGCAAAATCTAAACTGGAATTTGGTTAATCGTATGATAATGATTCAGAGATACATGAATAAATTAAATCAGATCAATATTTATCACGTTATAATCTACAAAGACAAAAACAAATATTGTAAAGGTCACAAAACAAAGGGAAACTTCTCTCCCATAATAAAGAAACGGAAATATACGTTTTCCAAAAGTTATTAATCACAAATCAATCATTAAAGAAAATATCCACGAATGAATTAAATAAGACTCTGATGGTATTTAATTGTAGTTGAAGGATGGATTTATCAGTCCCATATCTTGTCAGAGTTTGTTGACGTATTTATTCCAGTATTATTCTGCTTTCAAATGAGTTCTTCTTTTATATTGTCAAGAGACACGAAGCTTTCCAAGTTCCAATTTAGGAACGAGAATAAAAAGTTAAAAATAAAGGGGAGAACAGAATCAGTGTGTGGGAGTTATGAAACACACAGCGGAAATAGGAGAAAAAGTATTCCTAAATATAATGTTATTATTAACATGGAACAATTTCAAAAGCACACTGTTTATAAATCTATTAAAAATATCTTAAGAATTAGAAGTAATGAACTGAATTCAATCATAGTCTATACACGAACTTTTTCACAACCAAAAAAAAAAAAAACCCATAGCTGATTTAAACGCTATCAAGATTTTTCTTTAGAATAGAATTTCACATATTCATTCTCTATTTCTGATTACCGGTATCATATAATGTTTGATGTGAAATACTAGCTAAATACTTTACAGGAATATTAATCATATTTACACCCTCTTATTTAATATATCCTAGGCATTTTTTTTTAATATGTGGTTTATAATTAGATTTATAAATAAACTGGACTACTCTTATGATGGAATAAAATATACCTTTTAATCATATTCCACCTACTCCTGTTATTTTGATCTAAAATCTACTTGTACATTACTTTCATAATTAATAATGAAATGTGCGTGACATTTAATCGATTATGTGGTTGAAAAAACGGTAAAAAAATTAAAAATTATTTCAACATTATTTAAAATTCTTTAAAAAATTGGAAGAAACAATACAAAATAAATCAGTATAAAAACTATGTTTTTGAAAACTTCTTAATTTTAAGCTAAAGGGGGAAAAACGTGAAGGATATATCATTTTCATCCGTGTAAATTGAATAACATTAAAAGTGTCACCGAAATGTAGCTTGAATTCATAAAAAGTAAAGAGAAAAAATATCATTCATTATTTATTTATTTTCTGAAAGTTAAGAATGCAGAGTAGATTTTAACAATGTTAATTAAATTAAAGTACCTTACAAACTATTGTAATCCAAAACACACCGCCTCATCACACGGCGCCGGGAAGGCAAAATTACTTTTTTAAAACTGCACTTTTGCTAATTTGCACAATAAAGTAAGCAATTTTAATCATATTATGGCTTTTTTATCCATGTTGAGATTTTATTACCCTTTTTAATTAAATCTAAATTAAATACTCGAGGTTATCAAAATATAATAGGTATAAGAACGCCTCGTAAAACTCTAGGTTACTATTATGGTAAGGGGTATGTTTTCCTAATTAATCTTTAGGTGGGCTAGTAGTGAAAGCGTCACATATATATTAATGAGAAATGCAGGTTGACTAAAAACAAATTAATCTAGCTATTTTGAAAGAAATTGAAATTTTTGTGCACAAAGAACCTGATGTGACAAGGCGTTTGGCACTATCGCTGGGGCTGATTTTAGGTCTCTGTTGGGCTACCATCAGGGGAATGCATTCGTCAAATCTTTATATAGACATCATTTTACGTATTTGTTTTGCATTTGGAGTTTCCACCTGTCTAGATAGACTTGTGTATATTGTGAGTAATGTCTGCAAATAGCCAGTCGTATTCCTAATTTTTGACGCCTTTTTCAATGCGGTTATCTAATTGTCAGTCCCCTTTATTCGAGTCAATGTCATATACAATTCATTAAAGCAACAATAGCTGTGTTACCATTTTATAATTCATTAGGCAAATTTAAAATTTTACATGTAACGAATGATTTTTGAAAAGAATGACACAAGGATTATAATTACGCATCCTGATATTTTCTGCGTTATTATTAATGAATGATTGGGTTAGGACGTGTACACGCAACAGTCTCACACATATCTTTCACAAACAAGCTGACTGCATTTTCTCTAAAATCTTAGAACCTCAGGAAGCATAAATTAGAATTTGTTTAAATCATGGCCCAGGCTAGGTTTACGGTGGGCCCACAATGGAAGCAATGTTTCACATACATGTTACAATACATTCTTCAAAAGTTTTTCATAAGATTTGATAGCAAATATTGATCTCTAAAGAACAAGGTACGGTTTCAATAAAAAACTTGCCCTGTGTTTTTCTTAAAAGTGAAAGTGGTGTAAAAAAAAAAAAAAAAAAAAAAAAAAAAAAAAAAAAAAAAAAAACATGCTTTCTGAATCACTGAAATTCCATGCAGAAAGATCATACAAATTATTTTTCTCACATGTCCTTCTAATTGCTAATTGTGACGTCATAAACGCGTGCATTTTCCCGTGTTTTCCTAATAAGTTGCAAAAGACACCATTTTCAATGGAATTTTCTTTCAGATAATACTATCCACAGGCATCGCCCAGGAAAATTTGGAAATATATGATTTTTTAAAGGATTTTACGCAACATATTCGAAAATTAAAGTGGGCGACGGCTGTGGACACTATTTTCTTAAGGAAAATAACCCTTGAAATGGGTAATTTCGAGGCTTTTTCTGTTTAAAATAGAGAAATGTATCAATTAATGACGTCATATCTCAAGAATGGTAATTCTTCATGCCATATTCATTCCTGATTTATCACAGTGATATACTCAACTAACATTTAAGTCAGTTTCAAAACTTTTTGAAAACATTAAATTTGTAGGGCACAGTAAAGCTAAAACCGTAACTTCTTCTTAAAAGAAGAGAAATTTGGACCATGCTTGTAAACATTAAAGTGATCCGAATTTGCTCTTGACTATTACCCCGATAATTTGTCTGTACGCTCTTAGTATATTTTAGTGCACCTTAAAAATAACTCAAATAGATGCTTTTATATGACAGTAATACCTGCAATCAAGTGTTTGAATTTAAATATACACTCCTTCGTACCCGCGTAACCAGTGAAGAAGCCACAATAGGTATTTTGATAATATACATAAATGTTGAACATGAATTGCTCAGGTGAGCACGTGGCCCCTGGGCCTCTTAAATTAGCATTTCATATAATAAATTAAAATTGCCAGTCTGAAATGAAAGAATTAAATGAAGCATCAATTCTGTTTAAAAAGTTTTGCAAAGAAATTTTTTGTAACAATGATAATGAAAAAGTTTTAAATTTTCGGCCCTACAATTGACCTAGATGAAAATGATAAAATTTCAAAATTGCATTGTCTACAGGACACTACCAATCATATTCTAAAAGATGATTTGGTTATTTACTGTGTAAAATGTGGTGGAGTTCTTAGAAAATGGGTTTTTTTTTTTTAGAAAAATGACCACTAAATGGCCTCCTCTATGCAGCTGAAAATTCTGAAACCTTATTGCATATCTACAGGACACCGCAAATTATATTCCAAAGATGATTTGGCTATTGCGTAAAATGTAAGAGAAATTTTAGGTACGAAGTTTTCGTTGAAAAACATCATTTTTCACCCCCTTCCCCAAAATGGCCCCATGGAGAATTTGAAAATTCCAATAAACTTTACATCACCAATCATATTACAAAAGATGATTGAGCTGCAGTGTAAAATATGAGTTCTGGGAACAATGTTTTGTAGATAAACGTCGTTTTTCGCCCCCAATTGTCCCAAGGGTGAAAGTAAAAATTACGAAGTCTTATTACACATCTACAGGACACCATAAATCATATTCCAAATTAAAGATGGTTTGGCTACTGCTTATAATACAGTTGGAGTTCTGGGAACCAGGTTTTCGTAGGAAATCATATTCCAAAAAAATGAATTGGTTACTGTTTTATATGTAGAGTTTGAGGAAGAGGATAGTGTGACGGACAAACGGACCAGGTTAAAAACAATGTACCCGAACTTTCTTTAGAAAGTGCGGGTATAATAACCCTTTTTGAAAGAATGCTGCGTATTTTCCTTATCATCATGTCATGGCCTCTAAAATTTAGGCGCCAGCTGACGCCTTATTAAAAAAAATTAGTCGCCAATGCAAATTTTTAATCGCCAGGTAATATTTTTAAGGCGCCAACTTTAAAAGTTAATAGTAATCAATATAGGGACCCATGATGTGACTAAGAAAACACGACATGTCCATTGCTAAAATTAATTTCCTTTTCTTTAAATTTCTTTTAGCTTTTTCAGAAAAGTTGTTAAAAATGTTAAAATTTCCAGAATTCGACGATCGTCAAGTCAGTTTAAAATGGTCGCCAATTAGGCGACTTATGGAAAAATTTTAGGCGCCAATCAAAAAATTTAGGCGCCATGGCGACTAAATTGGGCGCGGCGCCAATTAGAGCCTTGATCATGAGTTATTGAGTCTTGTATCTTTTTCATGTAATAGATATGTATTTTCTACTCACAAGAAAATGAAAAGAACTCAACCATAAACCCGGTGCCATTTACCAATTTGTTTGAATTATAGTATGTACGAAGAATATATATGTATTTTAAATTAAAATTTAAATTAAATTTTGAATTATTTTTAATAACTCACACGTACAGCTAGGACAACTCTGTAATTGATTTTGATTCACACTGTATTTTTACTTTATTGGTACCTTGTGTTTTTGTGGTGTGGTTTGAGGGAGTTGTAGGTGGCGTCTTTACGGTAGTTGTGGATTTTTTGGTGATGGTGCTCTGGGTGGTGGTGGTGGTCGGTGGTGTCGTTGGTTTACTTGTTGTCGTTGTTGTTGTTGCTGTCGTTGTTGTTGTGGGTGTAGTTGATGCTGTTGTTGTCGATGTTGTTGGGTGTGGAGTCGGTGTTGTTGTTGTTGTTGTACTTGTTGTTGTACTAGTTGATGTGCTTGTTGTAGGAGTAGAACCTTTTGTGGCTGAAGAGAAATGACTTACATCATAACGTGTATGTTCAGTTTTGAATCCACCGACCAGTATCATTTTTCTTTGTTGGAGAAACTGTGGATTTCCAACAAAGCTTTACAGAGCAATAACAAAAATGCAAGGGGGGGGGGGGCACTTGAAAAGTTCTGAATGCTTTTTGTTTGATGAAACATGGGGATAACGAACAGTAATAAAGTTTAAAAGTCCATTGAAGCAATGCAAGCTTCAGAGCTGCATAGCAGAGCAAACACGGACCTCTAAAAAGATCGAAGGTGGGATCAGGTGCCATGGAGGAGTAAGCGTTACCTGATTTAAAACATATGTGACAATCTCGTTCGAGATTTATTTCATACAAACTTTTGACTGAAAGTTGTTATAAGTACTACAAGAATAAGGACAGAGGAATTATGAATCCTACTCTGATTCTGTATACCGCGTTAACTAGTGTTATAAATCTATGGTAAGTTATATACTTATAGCATAATCTAAGAAGGCATTGTTGAAAGTGGCTAGTCTTTCCTGCATGGTCAAAGGAGACTTGCACCATCAACTAATTGATAGGCCTAATGTTGCCCATGAGAACGACTTGGGGGTGGGGGTATTTAACATTCGTCATCGCAGTTTCCAGTACGATACATTGATAGAATTTGACATTTCAGTGAGGTATATTTCATCTTTTCTTGTTTTAAACGAACATTTTTCTCATTGATATTTCATAATAAGCGAAGAATTGTGTAAAAACCGGGGGTGCTATTGATAGGTCATAGGTTTATCTAATGTGTAGTTTCCACCACTTATGATATAAATGTATATATCTATATTCCTAACGTATCATGGCCGTAGGAACCGAAGGGAGGGTCCCCCATAAATTTTGCCGATATTATAGAATACTGTAGAAAACATAACAATTATAATACTTGTGCCCCCATAATTATAACGTCTGATGACCCCTGTTTTTCCTTGTCAAGGAAATTTTGAATGCTTGGTAGCCCCCTCACCCCTCCAACTGAAAATATTTGGTTGTCCCCCTCCCCCCCAAAAAACCTCAAAACTGAAATTGCTTCTTACATATCTGCGTATATACTTAGAGCTATTGTTGAGTCTGTGAGAAATGGTTGGCTCCACTTTCCTTCGCCAGCCTCGTTTTTAGCGCGAATGACAATATTGTACGAGGTCCCGGGACTGAGACCATTTATGGTGTACTGCGTGGTGTCCTCGCCTGTCACAGAATTCTGAACCACTGACTGATCTGGACGCTGATATAGAATACTGCCAAAAAATATCAATGAACTGAAACTTCCTCACATAATACCATGAAATCATATTGTTTGTGTTGTCTTCTGATGAATTGTTGTTGACTAAGTTATTTTTTTCTGAGTTTTAAAAGTTAAGAAGATTTGATGTTCATTCTTTAATTCCAGCCCAGACGCTGGGTATTTATATGTAATTTCAATACTCACTCATAACCAGTGACGTTGCCACATCTGTGGTAGATACTAAGTTTACGCCATTCGACTGTAAGTGACGTCAAAGTCTTACTGCTCACGTGCATTCGAGGAAAGTCGTCTGGAGCTGAATGAAACATGTGGTATATATCAGATATACAGTACAAAGTAAGTAATTCACAGTAGTATGTATGCACTCTTTCATAAAACCAATCATCAGAACTTAACTAAAGCAGTACCGTGAAGCAATTGTATTTACATGTACTTATCTTTTTTACTGGTATTTTTTCTTAACTTCACATACGTATCATTTATTCATTAAATTGAAATAATTAACACTGCATATCATTTCGAGTGTAATCATAATGACTGATATAAAGTAACTTCTATGGTGTTATATTATGGTTCTGCTCTATGGAAAAAAGACGAAACTGTAAAGGAAAATACAAAACTAGCTAGAGAACCGTAAAAGTATTTCAAAAATGATCATTTTGGGGGGAGATTTCCCACTGCACAACCTCGATCTGCAACCCTGATAACTCCGGAATACTGTTCGTTATCTTCATATTTCATTTTAAATATTTCTTCGATCAGCAAATCCTTATTAAAAAGCAGTTTGAATACGAAGTGATCAAAGATTTGTATAATTCATATCCGGAATATTTAACTTCATTTTTAGTGATACTAGTCAGATAAAATCGCCGAATCATCCTGGTGTGCACTACCTGCACGGTCACAAGCTGATTCTAGCACCAAAGATTATACCTAATAAGACGTATAATATACAGAGGTCGTAAATAATGATCAGGAAATAAGGAACCGGTCCTATGACATTGTGGCGTGTCGTCCCCAATCACAGGAATAAATAATAGATCATTAATAATAGAAAAAATACAAAAAATCCAATAAAATGAACATTTGGGATTGTCCATTTAATGCACTGGATTTTGAAGGCTCTAGGCAAACAATAATTATAGTAAAATATAAATGTGCACAATGAATGTTCATTCATTGACATTGAAGTAAAACTTACAAATGACTCACTTTAAAAAAAAAATCCATGTAATTTCAAAGATCATATATCAACACTGTTATTCGACGAACCATACTATTGTTACTACTCTTAGATCGCTAGATATAGTTTATTCTAGGTAACTGTAAAAGTTTATCAAATTAGATTCATAATAAAAACTGTAAATTTTAGATTTAATAGATGTGAATAAATTCACAAAATTCAGTACGATAAAGTGAATATAATAACATTATGCTAAAGGCTAGCAATTTGTCAATACATGTACATAGGAGGCCAAAGGGAAGATTTGCATTTTAAAAATACATTAGAAATACTGAAAGGAAAATAACGAACGGGACCAGGTGCCATAGAGGAGTAAACATTCCACTTAACAAGTTGCATTTTCAATGCATTAGATTTTTTTCAGTGGACTTCTGTTAGTCATTGTTTTCGAAATGATGATTTTGTCGCCGGCTTTCACTGAAATGGGGAATATCAATTTGGGTCTGTCTGTTTTCTGTCTGTATGTAACAATTTCGTTTCCGTAGGATATTTCAAAAGCCTATAAGGTTTTACAAAATCTTATCTCATTACTACCTTTAGCCCCCAAAAAACACCCTTATTGATTTTGAGGTCCAAAGGTCAAGGTCATAAATCTATACATTGCAAATAACAGTTTTCTTTTAGTTTTTTTTTCAATGAATTGTAATTTCACAATTCTCTGTGGCCTAAAAACATTTTTGAGTGAAAAGGTTAAAGGTCAGGGTCAGAAATTCATGCATTCTGACTATGTTTATCACTTTCGTTTTCAAACTATATCTTAAAAAGCCTTTGATATTTTGCAATGAAATTTTATATTACGACTCCTTATGGCCTTAAAAAGATTTCTATAGATTTTGAGGTCAAAGGTTCAGATCAGAAATTTTTATATTGCCAAAAAAAAAAAAAAAAAAAATGGTTTTTTGCCTCTTTGTCTTCTGGTGATAATTCTGGTTCCCTTTGGGGGTTTGCGATGATTTTTTTTTTAACTTTAGTCAATATAACACAGAGATGACTCCTATTGATTGTGAGATTAAAAGGTCGAAGACCAAGGTCAGAAAATTATGCATAGCTTCATAGTTTTCAGATGCTAACTTCAATTCTCTGTAAGCTTTTGCAATGAAACTTAAAGTTATGAATTTCTTTCACCTAGAAAGACCCCTATTGACTTTTTTTTGCAAATGCTGAAAGTTCAATGTTTACCTTTTTTTTCTTTCTCCATCTTTTATCCCATTCTTCCACCCTTTTTTCCCCTTAAACGGGGACAAAAATTCTCTGAATTAGCTTGTAAAAATTGTTCTTAAGTAGAAAATGCTCTTGCGGATCGAAAAAACTGGGAGACGAAAACCCAGTAAGCAGGGTGATAATGGTACTGAGTATATTACCACATAGATAAGGGTAGCTGAAGAGCAGTAGGTCTCTGGTTGGGAAAATTCGGATAGATAAAGCGAAGAGCTACACAGCATTGTAAAAACATTCGATTTACGCCGCTGCTTTTTTTTTTCATTCTCTTCGGGTAATATTTCTTGTAAATATACACATTGCATTCTTTTATGGATAATATGTGAGCCCCCAAATTTTATAGGTCACGGTAGTCTAGTGGTGGGGCGTTCGCTGTGTGATTGGGAGGCCCGTGTTTAACTCTCGTTCGCCGAGCCGCGTCAAACCTAAGACGTAAACAGAGGTAGTGACTGCTCTATCGACAAATACCCGGCACTAGAATTGAAAGTCACAGGTCTTTCGGATGAGAGCTAAGAACCGAGGTCCCGTGTCACGGTAGACGTTGGCACAATAAAGCACCCTCAGTGCTCAATAGCACTGAGTGCCGAGTTAGTCTAAATTTGGAGCAAAATGCATGATGGTTTCTCTATATGACAGAAAAATTCTCCAATGGGACTTAAAACAACAATCAATCAATCAATGAATCCAAAATTCTCGGCATGTGTACGTTCTTTATCTGACATATTTTACCAAGACCAAAACGGAATATGAATTTTTAAAATCAACATTCCGATTACATATAGAGCTGCTTGGGACCGTTGAAGGTAAATAAATTAATATAACGAGGTTATGTTTAAATTTTATGGTTAATTGATGGATACCGTGCTTTTGGCGGGGAACGCGTATAATACAAGAAATAATACCACACACGAGGGACAAAAAAGCGGCGGCGTGAATCGAAGGTTTTTACAATGCTTGGATCTGCAGCTTTCTGGTTTGTCTACACGAATTTTCTCAACCAGAGAGCTACAGTTCTGCGCTTAAATAAGGGAATTGACTATAGAAAACTTGTAGTCATCACGTTTATCATAAAATTTAGTTGTTACTTTCCCAACAATGTCTTTCTCTAAAAAAACATTCACATTTGAAACAGATTAATAGGACTATGATGTCTTCTACTTCTGAATTTTTTTTATCGAATCAATGTATGAATGAAATGAATAAAGTTATTGATAAAATGGCAATAAATTTTGCATCATAAGAATACAAAAACAGGTCGGCTAATAAAATGGAACAATTGGTACCCATGGGTTGTTGGAAGACCTGTTCTCCAAAGACTACATAGATACTATCAAACATCTTTTTTGTAATATCACCTCAGAGTACTCCAATCTTATTAAAATAAGATGCTCCGATTCTGCAACCGCTTCTTAAACAATTAACAACATCCCATACAGGGTCATGTCAGCGCAATCTTTCAGTAATGAATAAACATTAAAATGTTGGCCCATCAGATCAAAGCATCTGTATACGATTCAAAAATAGTTCCACATCTACATGTATATCTTAACATTTCTAATGCTAGGTAGTTGATTTGAGCTAAATGTGGTATAAATTGAAGGTAATTTAAAGTTCGCCCATCAGCCATTCTTTTCTGAATAATGCAAACGAAAATGCACAAACTATAAAAGGTATCCCACATGCTACATTGCACAGTATTTGCCATAGTTTTGTTCACTACTAAACTCCTCGAGCATTTAAGTTTGGTTGTGAAAAAGAAACAATCCAAACTACAAGCCAATATTTCGGCGGAGGTGATTTCATTGGCTATTCGAAAAGTTGCTCTGACGTGACCTCGAATGTGAATGTTACAGATGATTGAGAAGGGTAGCGGATTCGGAACTTGTAATTTTAATTAGATTGAGAGAACTCGTTTGTAGAATCGGAATGGTTTTTAAGAAAGAAAGAAAACTTTCCGAGTTTTATTTTTACTGAAGAAGCGGTTATCTTTGATGTCAAAAAGTCTGGTCCTTTATTTATCGTGGGGAATGGCTGTATAATATGTTGAATAGTCATACGTTTTGAGACTATTGATTTAGATTTATTTTTGTGATTTCAAATTTTGTAAAAGTTCTTTGGAGTTTTTTAGTATCTACATTTGATTCACACCACTTCTCGAATATGTTGTTATACAGTACTGCCGAAGTCTCTCCTTCACTTTGTTCATATTTTCGTGAGGAATAAAGAAACAGGTTTGATAGAACATTTGCTACATCCCACTATGTATCATTTTTCTTATGATTTATATGAAGTTTTGGAATAGATCCATAATAGGTATGATCATTCAAATTCTCCTTGATTGCTGAGAATAAAACTGGGAAGAATCTTTTCTTTAGAATTTGAACTATGAGTATGTAGAAATAAATCCAAGATTCTCTAAAATGCAGTTGAATATTGATCCTTAGAAACAAAGACATTGTTGTTACCCGCTTTGTTAGCTAGGACCAGTACATATTGATCATGTAATCCATCTTTTTCTTTAGTCACTTCTGAATTACTATAGACAGAAGTATAGATGGCTCTCATATTCCTCCTTAACCGTTTAACACAAGACTTAAACAAATTTTCTTATAGTTTTTATCCATTCTGACAGTTTAAGGTGTTCTCCTTCATATTTGATCCATCGTCTGGCATATTCCAATTAACAAAATTTTGTCGCCAATTGAAAGATCGAGGTTTCCTTTTTTGAGGTCATCATTGTTAACTATATTCACATCATTGTTAACCATATTCACATATAAGTATAAAAATATATCATTTTATTAAAGGAATGTTTTTAAATTTAGTGCGAGTTATTCGTGTGTAAATCATACAGACTTGCCACGTAGGCATATTTCATGAAGCACGGTAGCGCTTCATGAAAAATGTGCATACCTGCAAGTGTGTGTGATTTACACAACAATAATTCAAACTAAACTTAAAAACATTCCTTATATTTACAAAGCACCAAAGATATACTCAATGCATGAATTTTTCGCTGCCCTATATCGTTACATCTATAGCCTCACTAACCGTTCACGGTAGTTCAGTCGGTAGAGTGCTCGCTTCGTGATCGGGAGGTCGTGAGTTCGAATCTCGGCCGCGACTGACCTAAGTCGATAAAAAAATGGGTAGCAACTGTTCCTTCGCCATGCGCTCGGCACTTTCAAGTGAAAGTTGCGGGTCCTTCGGTTGAGACCTTTAAAACCGAGGCCCCGTGTCACGGCAGGCGTTGGCACGTTAAAGATCCCTCACTGCTCAATGGCCCTGAATGCCCTTCACCGGTATACGGTGACGTCTCTATATGAGTGAAAAATTCTCGAATGGGACGTAAAACAACAAACAATCAATCAATCTATAGCCTCACTTCAGCGCCAAAATGGCATTCAGATCAATTTCACAGTTGGTTAAATAGAAAAACACTTTGAAAAACAGCAGCGTAATAGAATGTAGAATAACATATTCTAACAGCAACATTTCCTTATTCTGTGTTAATTTTATCTTTTGTACATGTATATATTGTGTTGTCAAATCTCAAAAATGCAATATTATATCACTTTATAAGTCGAATTAAATTTTATGTAACTGTGTTCATGTATTATGTCTCAATTTTTAATTATTATATTTGCTACTTTGATGTATTTGTTGTAATTAGAAAAATATCAGAGGAAGAATAGTGCGGCGCACTAGTCAGGCTACCTTCTTTAAATAAAGAATTAGAATTATTATTGAACATTATACATTTATTGACTGGGTTCGAGGGCAACATGCGTTTCGTCGGACCCAAAAACCAAACTGTTTGCTTGAGGCCGTTAGGCCGAAGGCAAACAGTTTGGTTCGAGGTGTCGAAAAAACGCACTTTGCCCGAGAACACAGTCAATAAATGTTTTGTTATACATTTTATTTATTTATTTTATTATTATTATTATTTTTTGATATACATGTATGTCGAACACCAACGAATGCAAATGAGATTTAACTGACCCCGTCCATTATGTGACGTAAGCGGTCCAACATCTCATCGACAGGTCCAATATCTCACTCTGCGGTCAAACATCGATTTTGTTATGCCCGCTCAGTAAGACATTGGAAATATTAGACTTTTTTAAATACTGATTTATAGAGGAACAAATTTTTAAAGGTATAACAATTGTTTTGTTATATAAAACAGCAGATGTTTTTCATAAAGATTAGTATAAGTGTTATTTTTATAGTTCATACAGTATTTTGGTAGGTTGGTAAAACCAAGTTCAGTATGAATATGAACATTGAAAAACATAAAAATATGTATTATGCATATTTGTTGTCATTAAACATTATTTTAATCTTTGTTTTCTCTGTGTCAACTGGGGCTCTGGCTGCAGAAAACTTACGTATGCTGGGGACGGTGTATAACACGGACCCTGGCGTGGGCGGTTCCGCACTGGCCGTCAGTCCGTTGACGTAGACATTGTATGTGAATGACGGTGTGACGCTAACAACCACGCTGTTCTGTCGGATATCGGTAACATTTACACCGAGAAACACTGTGAGAGGTTTCTGAATTTCATAATGGACAGCATACTGAAGTATCCCGCAGCTGACGTCAGATATATCCCAGGATATTTTTATTTTTTTTGGTTCAACTTGAGATACACGAACACCCGATGGCCTACCATTACAGAAACCTTCAAAAACAAATATTTTATAGATCTTTCCATTGAATATATATATAAAAAAACCCATTAAAAAAGATCTATAAATGTATTGTACAGAACCCGAGAAAATCCATGACGCAGGTTTTTTTCTCTCTCTCTTTTTTTCTTTTCTTTTTCTTTCTTTTTTTTCTTTTCTTTTTCTTTCTTTTTTTTTTTGCTTTAATTTCTATGCCTTCTCTTTCCTTGTTCAATTTATGCTGATGATTATAATAATTAAATTATTCAATTAATTATATTTTTGAATTTACAAAAGATTAAACCCCCTTGTTTCTGTACACATATCAAAGACATAAGTAGTGGTGGAAAGCATGTTTCACAATTAAATTAATTCTTACTGAAATTAATTTTGTTCTTTTTTATATGACAATAAAATATTATTTCACTTGCAACTGATTTCAAAAGTAAAGTTAAAAAATGCTTCATTTTAATTATACAAATATATTCTTTGTCTCTAGATAAGCTAAATATGAAATTAAGTTATATTCCAGACACAAATGCAAATACTCACCAGAGCAGAATTGCAAACAGAGCGAAAAAATCAAAGCTAATATTAAATATAGATAAAGGTTTCTGATATAAGAATTAACCATTCTTCGATTGTCCACATAATATCTCCAACAGATGTCAAAGGGCTTCAGACTTACTAATTTTTTTTCAGTTTACACACTTCGTATTTAAAACAGAAACGACATAAATTTCAGGACTGAAATCGGAAACAGCTTTCATTGGATGAGGACCTGCCTACCTGTTTATTTACGATATCAAGAGATAAGGACCAAATCATATATGGAAGGTCTCCTGAGTAATTTACGATTGTATATTTTAGAAACATTATTCGCGTATTAATTAAAACCTACACCCATACTGAGAAATGAAAGAAGAACAGGCTTTAGACAAGTCGTGGTCGCTCATTGTGCTATCGTCGACAACCGAGTCATGCTAATTACTACGTGGCCCCTATTAGACCACGGCGTTTCTCAGGGCTTTATTGTATGAGGCAATCACGCGCAAATTCTGACAAGACCTTCATCTCGCCGATAAAAGACCGCATCACCGCCAAACAAATCCAAAAATCCGCTGATTATGTCCAATAATCCCATAAACGAACCCTGACGTAAATCAAAATTATGTTCCATTTTAATGTAAGCTGTTTGAAGCTAGTCTGTGTGTATTCAGAATTAAGCGAAAGTATCAAACTGAAAGAAAAAAATTAATGTTCGAAAAAATATGTTTATTAAAATAAGCCTGATTTTTTGTTTTTGGATTTAATAGAGGTATTAAATTTCTTTATTCCTCTTTGTATTTTTACTTTAAAAAAAATCTGCATTTGAAGTTATTGCAATAGAATTCCACTTATGAAATCGACCTGTCTTATCTCAAGTGTAAAGTTGCACAATCATTGCAAACAAGGATCAAGGTGAATTTGTTTCTCCTAAACTGAAATCATCGCTCAGCATAAAACATTCTATTCAGTTAAATGTTTGAACAAATTTGACTCTTGACACTTTATAAACTACATGTTTCTTTCACCTCATAAACTGTAAACTTTAACGAATTCCATTCACACTATCGGAAAAAAATCATGATTCCAAAGCGAGGACTCGAAGTTTGGCTGGAAATGTTTGCCCAGAAAAAATAAATCACATGATACCTTTTCCTTGTCTTTTATTGGGTAATTTTCTCCACTTCAAGCACATTCCGTACCTCCGTGCAAGTCCAAATGTCCACCTTCCTTTTATTTATGAACCTTTTGCAATAATTTTCCAAAGTAAAACACGGAAAACTTTAAGTCCGTAATGAGGTCCTAGTTTGTTTTTTTTTAAATGTCGCCATTTACACCTCGGACAAGTTAATGTAACCATTAAGACACATGTAAATACCACCCCTTTTAATATTCTCAAAGCCACCAATGATATTCCACAAGAATCTCAAGGAAGAATTTTGTTTGGTTATTGTCAAAACTGTCCAGGAAAAGGATTACGACTTATATTATAGGACCCGTCTTTGTACATGCTGATTACATCAATTCGATAAAAGCATCCTCAGATTAAATGGACTTTCAAAATCATAACAAATACGAGGCAATAACCATTTATAGGTGAAAAAAGGTGAAGATAACGAACAGTGATCGATCTCAGAAAATCTATAAACAAACAAATCTGTGAACATGACCTTAAAACACGGACCACCGGAAATCCCAGAGATGGGATCAGGTGCCTAGGAAGAGTAAGCACCCTCTGTTGACGGGTCACACCTGCCGTGAGCCCTATGTATTGATCAGGTAGACGGAACATTCCTCAGTCAAATTTAATATGAAAACAAAGTCTTATAGATTGGTATGAAACACATCAGCCCAATTACGAACCAGTGATATTTCATATTTGCAAACAAGGTCAATTATAACGATAATAGAATTTATGAAATGCTGACTTTAAAAGAGATTGTTAAAATCCCCGTAACATCAATTTATCTGTCAGTTAAAAAATTGATCGTCTTCAGAGCATGCTGTAGAGTGTCAAATAAGTTGGGAGACGTAAACACCATATGCAGGTGATAGTGGAATATTACTACATAAATAAGAAAAGCTGAAGTCATCTCGTTTGTCATACGGTTTGGTTGTTAGTTTGTTGGAAGACCTGGTCACCGAAAACCACAGAAATTTTGTCAATGAGGAATTCCAATTAACTTAGATAATGTATCAAATTAATGACGTCATATTTCCAGAATACTTCTTCTTCATGCCTTATTCTTTCGTGATTTATCAAATTCATGAACTCATATTTAAGCCAATTTCAAAACGTTTTAAAACATTAAATTTTTAGGGCACAGAAAAGCTAAAACCGCACTTTCTTCATCTTATAAAGCCATCTAATCGATATCGTTAATCAATGTCTCAAAAATTTCTTGAACACAATAATCACCACCTATCAGCCGTCTATGTTTTCATTACAAAAATAATCCCTAATTCGCACGTGTTCGGCCATTATTAGTCCGCTACCGGTAAAACCGGAGACTATAGGTTTCCTCCTCGTCTGTCTGCCTGTAGTTCTGACTGTCTAGCTGTCCCACCGTCAGTCTTTCCCACTTGGTTTTCCACATTTTTTTCTAAACATTAGCAGATATTGAGCTGATTTTTAGTATGTGAGTGTATGTTGATGAGTTACAGACGAAGTTAGCATTTCGTTCCGCTTCAATTATTTTACTGCCTTTTTAATTTTTAAGAGGTTTCCGCACCCCCCCCCCCAAAAGCTTGTAGATATTGAGCTGATTTTTGGTATGTGAGGCTACCTTGATGGGTTAAAGATCAAGTTTGCATATATATATATATATATATATATATATATATATATATATATATATATATATATATATATATATATATATATATTAGGGATGTCAAATCGGTCAATTTTTGATAATCGGTTACTCGGACGTTTTTCCGATCGAGTACCCGGGTACTCGGAAAAATGAAAATACAAGTGTGTTAATTTTCTTGAGCCTGGTTAAGCTCTGTTATAATTATATCCCAAAGCTGTTTTTATCACGTTTATAAATGTATATAAACAACTGAGTCTAAGGGAAATGATTTTTGGTACCAAATTTATTTATCAAATAAACACAAAAGACACAATTAATACATCAAAAATTACAAATGGTTTACAGTTCTTGTTTAGGACCTATTTCATCAACGCAAAAGAAGGACAGTCTGTTTACGCAGATGATGTTAGACTAGTGAAAGAGAAGGAAAGGACGTTGTTGGGATCGCTAGTCTAATATTATTTCATATGTTGGTTGTTTCCCACTAAACTTACTACGCAATCTGACTTTCAACATTTTTTAAATCCTTAGTTATTTCTAAATATTTCTTCACTTTTGAAGTGGGTATCGGCATTTCTATGCATGTCTGATTTCGCTGCCGTACACGTGTATATTAATTAATTTAAAAACGATTTGAAGATAATAGATCATACTTAAACGATGTTTACTGAAAACAATCATTGAAGCCATAAAAAAATTAAGGACTACAATAGGTGAGAACAGCTGGGGGATTGGTCACTAATTACTGTGTAAACACAGCCACAGGCAATAACGGGTGTTTAACAGACATGCTTATTACCGTATGAATATTTAAGTTATTTTTTGATAAGTTTTTGATAAAAATATGTACTTTAAAGAAAGAAAATATATACTTCCGAGTAACCGAGTACCATTTTTAGTATTCGATACTCGGACGTTCGATCGAGTACCCGGTTAACCGGGTACTCGTTGACATCCCTAATATATATATATATATATATATATATATATATATATATATATATATATATATATATATATATATATATATATATATATATATATATATATCACTTCCATTCTCAACGACCGTGTAGTGTAGGGCAGCGCCGCGTGAATTCCGTCGCTTTTTGACTTGCATAGATAGCCGAGTGGTCAATCACGCTGTTCCTGCACTGCTATTCCCAAGATTGAGAGTTCAAGACAACCCTGGGTTGAGACAGGAGTGAATGAATACAAATATCAGGTGAATTCCTGGCCCAAGAAAAAAGACACAAATGTTCACTATTACTGTAATGTAAAAAAAAAATCTTTGCTGGCCATTTCGTTTAAAATGTACAATTGATGCGCTGTAGTACATTCACTTTTACTGCTCGTTCTTCTTATCCTTGACGAGTAGATATATTCTGAACGTGACACAGACTATCTATTATTACATACATTATATTAACTTCTAGTCAACAAAGTATCCGCAAATAACAAAAGCATTACAAACGCACCAATTTCAAGTTATTTGGTTTTGTGAAGGTTTTATGATGGGTATTTCAATAAACTATTCAACACAAAAAAACCCACTTCTTTTCTTAATGAGACATCTTTAATAATTTCTAATCTTTGTATCTTATTAATTAATTAAAGGACCATAATAATAAGGTAAACAGAGGTTCGACATTGTATTAGATAATTTTTTCATTAACCTAAAGGAAGACTGAGGTGATCTCCAGACTTTCCTATAAATTATCACAGGCTATAGCAATACCCTTACCAAACTGTTATGTTTGCTGCAGACCTGCAGCAAGTCTGCTGCAAGTTTGCAGCAAACAAAATTGTTCGCAGGAAGAAAATTTTCTTGTTCGCAGATGATTGCCGCTAGCTGCAATCTTGCGGCAAACATTGCAGCAATTGCTGCAAGCTTGCAGCAAATTCGCAGGAACTCAACATGTTTGCAGGAACATTGCAAGAAACATACAAACCAATCTGTTGTTCGCAGCAAGTTTGCAGGAAACATTCAACAAATTGAATGTTTGCAGGAAGTTCGCAAGAACAGTAAACAAGACAAATCAGCCAATGAAATGCAGACTGTACTGAGGTCAATACAGAATTCGCCATTTTGAAATGTTTGAATTGAAGTTGTAGATGTTTCAGTATTTTGTTAGGAATATATACCATTTTGAATGATTACAAAAGCATAATTATGGATGTAGCAGTACATTGGCATACAAACATCTAATTGGTAAGATCTGATTTTGTTTTATTTTAATATGAAACAATTATCTCTTGAAAAACTGGTGTACTTGCTAAATTTAAATCTACTTATGAATTTCAATCTTTATCTTAATATCACATTTGTATGTTTCTTTAATGTATTAAAGGTTCAAAACCAATTTTTTTAAATGTTTATACGTTTTCAAATAAATTGGTATTAACTGTAAAAATTTAATTTGTGTGTACAGAGAGTTATGTGCAAGGGTTCTTAATTTTTTCTGTACATGTCTATTACATCTGTACATGTATATTACATTTGAATTGAGAATAGTATGGGAACCTTGTCTAGGAACAAAAAGAACGACTGTCAACAATTCAGAAACTTGCATCATTTCAGACACATATGGTGGATTTTCTCTATAATTAACAGATTAAGGTCAGGACAAAGGCTTTCTGCGAACTTGTTGCTTGTATGCAGGAATGTGCTGAAAACAATAAATATATTGCTTGCTGCATGATAGCAGCAATGTTTGCCGCAAGCTTGCAGCAATGTTTGCCGCAAGCTTGCAGCAAGGTCTCCATATTTGGAAAACCCAATGTTTGCTGCAGACTTGCAGCAAACCTCATTTGCATGGTAAAATGTTTGCTGCAAGCTTGCTGCATACCTGCCGCAAACTTGCTGCAAACACAGAAGCTTTGTATAGGCTGTCATGTTTCTTCAGCTTCATTGCCGCAAGCTTGCAGCAATGTCTGCAGCAGGTTTGCAGCAATGTTTGCTGCAGACTTGCAGCAAATGTTTGCAGGAAGGCAGTATTTTTGGTAAGGGTATCCTTGTTTACTGACGGTTTTTTTTTTATCGTGAAACTGGTTCTACCTTACAACCTTTGAAAGGGTCAACCAAGATCACGTGTTTTGAATTTAAGTCTCCTACATGAGTAGGAGTGAACTAGGAACTGTGTTCGAACATTTTAGTAAAGCATTGATTAACGATGATCTGTACCTACTTGCATGTACGTCTCCATGCTATTAATTTCGTTTTAAGACCTGTTTAAATACTGCTGTCATACAACAGAGAGAGAGAGAGAGAGGGATTACGTATTTTCCTATATACGTGTCATTGTAACGTTAGTGTATAATTTAGACCCGATCTTGCAACACAAGATTCACCTCGAATTCATACTTCAATTAAGATCAGGTAAGTGTAAAATCGGGAAGTATTGCAAACCAGTTGGTCGAAAAGGCACCCATTTATTTTAACATATTTACACTCAGTGTAATTTTCTTCACGAAATCCTTTAAAAATCTACAGCATTCAATATCTTATTACACATTTGCCCACGTGGCGCAGGGGTTAGAGCGTTTGCTCTCTCAAGAGGGAACAACAAACAAAACAAAAACACATACGAACCCGTGCCAACAAATTATCATACCGCGCTAACACGCTGCTTCAATTCTCCGGCAAAGCCACTGCCCAGGTGCTGTTATAAGACCAACGACATCCAAAAATAAGAACACAATGCTAAAGTATCTACATGTAGTCTACAATCATTTTGACATTTAAAATTCTGTTCGAATATTGACCAGATTCTTTTACAAATGAACATAAGTGAAATTGGCTGGATATGAAAACAGAAGCAACCTAAAAAAGAGCACAAAAATCTCCGTAGTCCTCCTTTGCAACAGCAAGCTTAGTAAAGGAATTAGGAATTTAACCCCCCCCCCCCCGCTTATGGATAGTAGTTTATAACGGTTTTCCAAGACGGTGTAAAATGTTGAAGTATTTTACTTTCTTCAGACTATGCACTTCCTCTCTTCTATGATGGGTAGAAAATTCATGCTGTGAAAATTTTCAATTATTTCAATGGTTCCTAAAAACCTTTTCATGAACGTTGAAATTAATGTAGGGAGACCTCTTTTCTGTACAGTATGGGGCTTAACTGATATTAGCACATACACTAAAGAAGAGAAACCAATTGTCTATCCAATACTTTAAAAAATAGGAAGCGATTCTATTTATCTGTAAAAAGCTGTTGAAGAAATGCAAAGCTAAGAACTTCTGAAGAATAATATGACCTGATACTGTAGGGCTCCTCAGCTAGGAAAGATATATAACTCTTTAAATTATTGTTTAATTGATTAAGTCCCAAAATAAAGCTTGAAATTGAAATCTTTTCATGCAACAATTTTCATTCTATCCATCTCAAAATCATTTCAAATCATATTTCATCTCAATGTGATTCAAGGTTCTTTTAAGTGTTAAAACCTTGTATCGTGAGAAGTTGACATGTGTATCCATCAAATAACAAAAAGAATTTCTTTTAATCTAGCCTTTGAGACCAATGTTTGTTAGCATGGTAAAAAACTAGAAGTGATCGGTGATGCTTCCAATGATAGCACAAGCTCTTTACATTATGTTTTATACAACAATCGAAGTCATAGAATTAAAATACAGTGTAAGTGAAGAAAAAACTAATCATGCTTTTGACATTTGACATCGTATACAGCTGCTTTTTCAATAAAAATGGAACTTGTAAATATACTTACCTTGTTATTGGTCATTTGCAAAATTATTTTGTTGAAAAGCATTCTGACTGTAT